TTCAATAGTTTGCTTTCAAGACCTACGTTAATTAACCAATGATATTAATTAGTGTAGAATTGTTATTATACTATGCCACATGCTCAGAAAGTGTGGTTTTCAGAATAGACACATTCTCTTTCCTTTTAATATGTCAAGATTTTTAGTCACTTGATTTGAGCATCTGTATTTTTCACCTCGGTAAGGGCACTGTACAACAGCTGATGCCAATACATAATTTTACTTTGAACCTCGGCTCTCCGTTCCTGTATGCTTGCCGCTGAACTCAGCAGTTATTTATGACAAAGTCAACGAAGGATACTGCTAAGTGGTGCGCTCATCGACACCTCCAAACAATCGGATGACAAAGAAAAAACAAATTTCCATTAATGACCAGAAAAATTTCCGCAAGTTGCAAGTGCAAAGACGTCGATATAGACAACAATTTAGGTGACACACATGCACATACCTGGTGGAGATCCAAATCTTGCTTCTTACTTTGCCATCATAGATTTAGTATGTGCGACTCCTCCGACACTTGATGAGAGAGATGAAAAAGGCCGCATCTTGCAGCGTTAACGGTTCGGAATCATGCTGGTACAATAAAGGGTATAATTACCTAGAAGGTTGAACTCGTAGATATATGGCATATCGTTACAATTATACGTCCCATGAACCCATTTGAAGTGCGATAGAAGTCTCAATTCCGTGTACTGTTACCACATCCTGTCCGAAATCTCACCACTTGCAATGACTATACTTCCAGTATGAGCGAAAACCAGTACGAAGCAGAAGCGTTAGCGAAGAACTGACGCGTCAGCTCTTTGGCTCAGTCATGCTAGATACAACCCCAAATTGGCACAGCATTATATTCACCTGAATTAACATCTGAACTTCTCCTAAGTGTTTATCCAACTCGGAATGACCATACGGAACATGTCCTCGCTGTCCCTACATTCGCAGACAAGGTGTTGCGTATTTGCTTCCTTGCGCAGCCTCATATAATCCACACGAAAAGCAGAAAGTCAATATGCGAAAATTGGCGCCTGTCTGTCAAATGCAACAAAGGAGCGGTGATTGGCATGCTCGCAGTTTCCGTTAAAGTGGATTCGTTTTCAGCTCATAATCTGGCCATTCGGAAGGACAGGTGAGTCTTCGCTGACCAACAACCAACTTGGAGGTTGATCTAGTCATTTTTCTTTGTGACCGGAATCAACCGTTAAGTTACATCACAGCGCTGTCCCTCCCATGATTAAACAAATTCTTCTTTATATACCGTCTAGTATGGTGACCAAAACAGAAGCTGGACTGCCAATCACGTATATCCCTCTGGATTCAGTGCGCTTTCTTTACAGGTGAAGTAGCAGCAATCTTTAGTTTGCAGGAATATAAACTACACATCTAGATACAATTAAGTGGGGGACAATATATATCCTTTGCATTTCCTGTGCAAAATTTTAGCATAATTGTTTAGATTACCGATCTGACAGCTTTGTTTTGAAGGCAGTCTGATATCCAGTCGTCGCAGTCAAGACAACCCTGTTCGTTACTTGAGCACAGCTGTTTGCATGGAAAGGTTACAGTTCTCCATCCCTTTCATAGGCATAACAGTTTCGTTTACGCGATGGTGGGTAAACTGGCGTTATGCTTGGCTATGCCTGTTTCGTCTGAGATAACGTTCACGAAGGATGCATTGTTGGCTTCTAAGCATAGCGAATTGACAGCCTCTACAAATGCAGCACCGAATCACACGAGTTTTCCATATGGTTAGAATTCAAACCGTGCCATCAGCAACTGCAGTTCCATCGGTCTCAGCGACTAACGTTTCATACTTCAGATTGGACGACAATCATATACTGGAAACCTACCTGAGAATCAGATTCACCCTGGGGCTCCTTACACACGCCTGGGGCGTTGTCAATCATGTCCATGATCCCAATGAACTACAGCATATCTGAGTGACAAATGGTCATCTAATGAACCTGGCTTGTCATGATGTTGGATGTAGTGATGACACAAAGCATTAAGTAGAGTACCACGTAAACTACATTAACTCACTCCATGCGCAGTGTGTGCAGCTAGTGCTGTTCGCACTGAATTAACTAAATCGGTTAAGTGGTAAGACAGAAATACGTTCAGGATAGTCAATCAATAGAGTGCCGTCCACCTGCATCAGGTTACTGAGGTTCGGCGATTCGGCAGCTGATACCGATTTCGTGAACAATCTCTTGCTGATGCTGGTGGCCACGTTCCTAGAAGCCAGGGATATCCAAAGTCCGGCCCGTGGGCCAAATTCCGCTCGCGTTAACATTTCTACTGGCACGCGGCCTCATCGTGAAATAATACATTCAAACTTGGATTTTTTCGCACAGATGATATTATAGACACACAATCTAAGGATGTCAGATGGGGCAAAGATCAATGATGTACTGTGTATTTTTAACTAACTAGCAATCTTAGCTAAACCAATTAATGATGATCTCAAGTGCTCACTTTCACCCCACATATTAAAAGTTCGCAATAAAATACTTATGGCGTGTGCACTTTTGATATTATTTTAATGTCAGACCAATTATGGTCCGACTTATTTGTACCTCACAAAATTTGGCCCTCCTTGCGAAAAGTTTGGGCACCTGCTATAAGCGGAATGCCGGCCAAAATCACATGGATTCTGATCGCTATGGATTCATCATTGAGGTTACAATTTGACTGTATATGTATGCAACCCAATCATTCCATGGAATTCATGTAAAAGGCAGACGAGTCTACAGGAACTAGCTGAATTCACATGATCATGTCGAAATGTTCTTTCTTAGCGCTTTGAAATTCGTGGATGGAACATCGTGCACTAGTTAGATCACTTCGGTGAGCATCCTAACGCGGGACCACCACACCTATTTTAGGACATAGCAAATGCAGCTACCATAGGGAAGGTTTATTTGTGTGGCTTATTCTGCGAGATGACGCAGTTCTACAGAACTATTTTTGGTGCCTTCACGCAAATGGAATGATCCTCTTATCGACTTCCTGCTCCTTGTTGTTCTTTGACGCTGTCTACCATATAATAAAGGATACAAGTAACTCAAAATCACCCCTTTTCTCTGGAGCAGATATGTCGTGAATAACATCAAACCTATCAGCAGCTGACTTGCGGGAATATTTGTTCCCCCCCCCCCCCCCCAACTTGGTACTGCCGAAACGCAGACGGCGAACAGACAGATGCGGACGCCCCTCGGGACCGCCCTACAAATCGGACACGGGAGAAAATCTAACCATGTGCAACCATGATTGGTCCAGAGACTGCCGCCACCCTACCTGAGTCAACCGAACTTGTCGGCACCCAAATTTTGCTTGTACACGCCACTGCGGTATTCATTGGTCTTCCCGGGGTAGACAGATTTTCGATGACAGTAAGACTAGGTCGCACATGCTCCGGACAGTGACCGTTCTGTCCAATCGCCGTTATGACCTGCCCTCGTCACCCAAGTGACCTTAAACTTCGGGGTCATATAAAAGAGAAGCCAACGGGCTGGCACATTAACCATTACCCTGTAGTCACGTGGTTGACACGTCGTCGGTGAGGCACGTTGGAATTTGATATCAGTCAATCAGCAAATAATTACATGTAAGCGGCGAGTTTGTTACCCATCCTTTCTAGCCTACACAAAGAAATTCTGCCTAGCAGAATTTCCTAGTGTGGCTACCGATCCATGTAGTTTTTCTTATATTGTTATTTCCATACAGTTGTTTTTGTTATTGCGATGTCAGCTTGCATGACCTTCACTATAGCTCTTTGTGATATTTACTGTGGGAGTCACCGTGGATTGTTTGTCGCCTGGTCTCAGCAACAGGCTGTGACTGCCTGTCAAGGTCGCGTGTGGCCGTGCTGACAATGTGGCTTTGTGTCTCGTAGGTTACGACAAGTGCAATTGGGCAAGCGTTCGTTTTTGATATTTCTGAACTCGGTAAACAACCAGGTGCATAGGCAGTCGGACGCACATTCGCCGGCTCGAATAAATTGTTTACGCCACTGGGATGCTATTTATTTGCCTGACCAAAGTATGTTAGTCACTCCACTCCGGTGCCTACTTCACGCTCAGCAGTTAGTTTGACACAGCGGGATTGCGTCACTCGACCGCTGTAACAGCACGCTGTCACAGGTGAGCACAGATGTAACCGTTTCAGTAGTGGCAGCTTTTCTGCTATTTTTGACCAGAACAACTTTGGTAACGACTGATAATTTGCAAACTATGGGTCCCGTTGATTTTAATCACTAGATTTGTGATTCACACAACTAAGTAGTTCTAAATTAGCACGTCAACTGAATCTAACTTGATTCCGCATTGTTGTCACCATATCGTTCATCCCATAAAGTGATCCTCAATGACCAGATGTAAATTATGAACTACTCGATGGATCATGGATTTGGCAATAATCAAGAAACCATCGCCTTTTACACTTCCCATATTTCATTCAGATGCAATGTTCCACGAACTGTGTACTAGACCTAGATGCAATGAGCCTTGGACAGGTTAATGACAATATACTGCAACGTCCGTAAAATGACCTTGAGTGAGCACATGCACGAAAGAGAAGGAAAACGTAACGCTAAATAGAGTGGGCGAGAATAGATCCAGTTCAGAGGTCAACTCAAGAGCATATGTGTTCATCACACAGTATACTTTCTCCACTGCCCAGGTTCTGTGAACTAATCAACGAGTATTAGGTGACGAACACAAAGATTGATGTCACATGGGTTGCTGCCATAGTAAATTCTTTTGTATGGTAGATAAGAGTATATGGTTTTTCCTGTAGTACTCGGGGCCGCTTGGTAATCATATAACTTTCTTTCTCCAGTACCCGAAAACCTTTGGGATAAGAGCAGAAATTAAAAAGAATTATTTTTGGTGAATCTATCAATGAACAAAAAGTCGGTAGCGCTTGGTCTTATGATATCATGTTATCACATGCATAAATTTTAGAGCTTCGAGGATTTCGTTTCCCTGTTTTCTACTTCTAGAATGCGGTCACACTACCTATTACAAGAGGATAAATTGACGGAATCAGTAGAACTTTTGATTGTGCACAAGCTAATTCAACTCGCTGATGAACTGGAAAGTAATATCTTCACCACTGGATCACTCCCTACTGCAGCCCATCAATCTGGTGCGCTACCCCATCACGATGCCGTAAATCAGGTTAGTTACATGATTTCGCCACCGGCTGTCTGCCAGTAATATCTCCCACAATCTCTACCGAAGTGTATTTCATAAACCAGACAGCAATCATTTTCAAACTCCTTTAGTCAATCGGATTCACACTGTAACACGTTTTTAATTAGACCACCATACCACGCCAGTGGAAGACAGTTGGGCACATCTCACTTACGCCGACCGTAACGTGATGACTCATCTTTGCATCTTTAGGTCAGCAGGGGTCACCAGTTTGCCGGCAAGTCTCCGGTTGTGTTATGTGAAGTTTTGCGCGTGTGCGCTCAACAAAACCACTAACTCCTCTGCAGCCCTGGCAGCCGCATACACACACGAGCTATTATCCGCATCGTCTGTCATGACGTGCATTCGACCACCAAGTCGGACCGAGGCGACACGAAACCATTCCCTGTTCTCGTTGGTGGTAGCAATAGGAGCTACCATTAAGGCTCCACTGTCATCATCACTGAATGACGGGTGGATGGGGTGAGGGCGGCAATCCGAAGAGAAGTGTCGCAACGGCTCGCCCCGGGAGGGCGTGGTTATGTCTGACATTGTTGCTTTAATCCGGCGACCTCAATCTAGGCAGCGTGTAACGTATGATGTGAAGTTTGACCAACATGTAGACAGGTGTGTGCATGTGTGTGTTTGTCTCAGCTAAGTACCGAACATTAGTCATCCACTCTTGATACCACGATGTGATGAGCGGCAACAACATTTTCCACATTTCAGACATCCAATTGCTCGAAAGCGCATCGGATAAGAAAGTCGTTATTAGTTGGCTTTGGATTATTATTTGGAATGCTGGTTGTCAAAAATGTGCTACGACGCGTGTGAATTCCCAACGCCGGAGTGAAGACATCATCGAGTTTCGAGCGATCGGTTGATTGTATGGCGCATCGACAATTTGGCCGGACGAGACAAACAACAGCTACAGCGACCGATAACTTTTATAACGGAACGGAGCATTTCAGTCGGATGGTCCGCAGCTGGTTTCGAAAGAATTGACTTCTTGGGCGACGCAGTTCAGTGAATTATGCTCACTGCTTGGCACTATCATAAAATGGCTCTGTTTTTCATTCTGTTGATAAATTAATTTACATTTAAAACATTCAAACAAGGCTTCTTCCTGTAACGACTAAATCATGATTTCCTTTCCCCGTTCAATAATCCCCGATATTTTCTAAACCTTGTTTGTGACATTGAATTGCACTTTCCAAGCCAAACTCTTCCCGCGTTTTGAAATAGTGCATCCTACTTCGGACTGGTGTTTACAACTAGCTATCAGAGATTCGTTTGATCAATGAGCTGTGTCACCCATTCGTCAAATTTTCGATTTACTCTAGGATCCGCATGGGTCAAAGTGGCTGAGCCTTAATTAGAATGTCTTACGTTGAAGCCTACATGAATGCAACGCTATTGACATTAGTCTAAGGAGCGGTCTTTGGTTTCTGCGCCGTACTGCCATGCGCTTAGGATGCTTCACATAGTCAACTCTGTGCCCGGGAACGCGCTGATTTTCGTCTGTTGAGTTACAGCAAGGAAAGGAGCAAATATTCGGATTGGCAAACAACACAAAATTGTTCATGGATTGAGTGGCTGGAACTCAGTATGCGAATCCTCACCCTTACCGTAGTACCCCCAAGGAAGTTGCTTGAAGGATTATGTGGAACGCATGAGTAAGAGTATAAGAACTTGGTAAAACCAGTCTCAGATAGACCAAGGTTATGGATCACCGGTCTAAGGAGTACTAGCTTATTTGTGATTAACGATTAGGTTTTCTGACACAACCTTGCTTTCAATTTCATTGAAGAAAAGACATATTATGTCAATTTGCTGTCTGTAAATCCACATACGTCTGGCCAACTGAGTGTTTGCAAGCACGTTCGTCCTACACAGCCTACAAAGCGGATCTCTTTTCAGTATCAGGTTGAGACTGCCCAAGACTTTCGACTTCGGCTATTGACCATCGTGAGTAGGTATCGGTGGACATGCGACTAATTCGTATGGGTTCTGAAAGGTAGCATTACTGAATGAGATTATCTCGACTCGGGCTAGTGACGTTTGCAAACGCGAACGAATAGAAGGATAATACAGAAAAGCAAGGTGCAACGGATGACAGTACAACACTTGTTAGACTTTGTTCCTGAAACCCTGGCTTACAATCACAGAATACCAGCCACTGCAACTCAGCTATCATTCTTTTGGTAGATAGAAAGTAAAATAGAAAGAAATAGAAAGTAAAGTAAAATAAATTGGATTGCACGATGAGCTTAATAGCTACAAACATAGGTGGAACTGCAAAGTCAGCGTATTGACCTGACATTCGACGGAAAAGGGAGGCCTGTGGAACTAATTAATTTACTACTCAAAACTATTTATAGAAAAAGCAGATGGGTTCATATCACTGTCACCGGATCCGATGCAAAATCACTTGCTGAAACAGTTTAGATTGGTACTTTATCACCTTCCAAGTAAGAAACAGGTGAGTGTATGCAATTGTCGTTTTCAGTAATGTCGATTCGTTGTCAAACCTAGTGACATCAGTGTATTTAGTCCAGCCTGATGCTGTCAAAACAGATGGAATGTGCTTTGAGATGTGCTTGCGATACCCACACCGGAAGACTTCAGGCGATTTGTTGTCTTGCGTGGGGGAAAATGCAGTAACAAGTTACCAAGTAAATGACGGAATAGATGAGACCTAGTTGGGACGTAACCTTCTTCATAGACAAGCGTCTTTCGTCGCTGTCGATAGAGGTTACCGTCTAGGCGGAAATGAAACCGAAATGAAGGTACTGAACGGGTTATATTATGTGACAGCAGCCAAATCATGAAACATAGGACGAAACAGTCTTCGATTGGCTTTACGCCCCACGATGGTTAGAGGAACGGATCATTTGAACCTGATTTAGCCTTATATATATGGATTTTGTTCGAGCAAAACACCAAACTTATCACATTTCAATGTGTTTCAATCTGAGACGTAGCGCCGGTTTAAGAGCATCCCAGCGAGAAAAACAAAATCGATAAGCTAAAAGGGAACAATCGTTTTTGACTACTTCTTCATTAGGCTTATACATTAATACACATATGGTAAATGTTGACTCATCTATCGGTAGAAAAGAGAAACGATTGGTCAAAACATTTACAGTATGATCACAGTGTCAGGCGGCTGATCAAGCAGTCGAAGTCAAGTGAACGTCTTGTCTGTGTTCGCATCCTGCTTATCTGATGGTTGCCGATGTTGTTTCACTAAATAGGTCCAGCTCAAGCTGTGAAGAACTTTGACTTACATTGCTTTGTACTATAGCCCATTTTAATGATCCATATAAAAACAATTGCTTTGTTAAGACAGAACTATTCCGGTTCCGACCTTTCGCTCTGTTCTCAATATCACAGTGGGCAGATACAGTTCGGGGACGATTCTACATTTTCGTTATCAGTAGTTTTAAGCCTTCTGGAATTTAGCTGCTCAGTTTAAATGAGGGAATAATAAGGTGCAAATTTGCGGTGGTTTGACAATGTCAACAAATGCTTCCTCGTCTAAACCATCAACCTAATTGCCTAAAAAAGCACATCGATGGGACGCTTGGAATTAACGAAATAGGATTACGCGGAATCATTTTATCATGCTAGATTCTAGCTGGTCGACGAGCGCGGGAATAAGTTGTCCTGGGGTCCAGACTGATTGATCAAAGAATGGTGACAAAGAATGTATTGATGTACTAGTCATAGTGGATCAGTGGTACCCAGTTCTGTCCTTAACGATATCATGACAGAGATAAGTGACAGTATTCACTATTTAAGCATTGTAATCCCTGCAAGCGAATATCGCAATGTTGCATAGTCATCGAGGTTATCTAATTGCATTGATTTATCGTTTATTAGTAGCGTGCCGCACATGTGTAGCAAGGTGTGCCACCCAGATCGCCATGGCCCAAGTGTCCGGACGCAATCGGGATGTGTACTAGTTGGGACAATTACTACGCATCAACCAGATTCTCAGCGCACGATAACAGTGGTGTTGAAAAACGGTGCGCGTGAAGGTAGGAAAAACTTAATCATTTGCTGAATGTCCTTTTACGTCAAACCACTCTAATATTTGCTTGTCTCGAACTGGGAATTGAATTTCACCCCTCCCCAGCCACTGGCAGCAATTTTAGTCACATGGTTTTATAATGACACCCTATCCCTGCTTTCGTATGATGTGATAAGGAAGTTTGTTCTGTCGCGATGGTAACCGAAACACAGCTGGTTATCATGTGATGTCGCACGGCTCAACTCTCCATGTCTACTTTGCGCCCTCTGACCTTAAGTGGTGTGAGCGAGAAACTTAATCTCTACGTCGCAAAATCAAGAGCGTGACAGCAACGAGAGGCAGATAGATTACGCCAAAACAACTTGTGCGTGTGTGCTGTTATTTCAGTGGCTGAACCGAAATCTACTACGATGTCCGTAGCCAGAATTGATAGTAGGTGGGGCGAAGATTGTGACCCAGTTGGAACCACGTGGCACGTTAACAATTCAGGGTGGTGATGGGGAGGAGAACACGGTATGCAAATGGACAGCGGAAAGTTGCTGTTAGCTTTAGTTGCTTGAGTGCCGCACGTTTGTATGCCCCCCAAGATTTCTAACCATAAACACGGGGAGCAAAAATGTGGTTGAAACCAATCGGTCCAAATGAGTGCTCCGGTATAATTGCTCGTGTATTGTCCGATGGACCGAGCAGTAGTATAACTGCAAGGTGAAACCAACTGTGAAGGTACCTTTAAACAGCCGAGATAAATGCGCCATCATAGTCTAGTGTCCTCTGGCTGAACTACTGTTTTCAGTTTTAAATCACGCTGTTTCAAGATTAGGTGGTAAACCTGCATATTCACACAAGATCACCACCCTATGTAAAATTAATTCCGACTGTGTCAAGGTGAATCTGAAATCGTAACTCGCTACTGAACTAATTCGAATGTTTACTTGTGTCTTGGTGGTTGTTACGGAAATATGATGCGCAAATTATACCTTTAACAAGGTAAAATATCCGATTCCCCTGACTCTGTTTGAGGGACTGCTTCTCGTCAGCATATATTCTGACAGGTTGGTACAGCATGTAAAGTTAACCAACACCAAACGTGTTGCAGCTTTAAAACAGCACTCAGTGCTAGCCTGTTCACGATGAAACGAGCTTCTCGGTGGCGTAGGGTAAATTGCTGTCCCACCCAAGGACGGCTGCTTCTTTTTAAAGCAGTGATTCTCAAACTTTTGAGATTGCTATCCGCGAAACGAGTTAACTATACATAATTACCGTTAAAGAAGTTTTAGTTTGAATATCAACCTACCTATTAACAATTGCATAATTTGCTCCAACACGGAAAACGAATGATATTTTTATTTACTTTTATTATTCAAACAAAGAAAACAGTTATTTTTGAGCGAATTTTCCTTCCATCAGGAGGTAGTGTATTTTAATGAGACGGCTGATATTGCTTAGTTCCTGCAATTTCTGATATTACAGAAGAGTAGTAGGGGGAATTGAATGGTATAGGTAGAAATTCGTCACATCTACACCCACGGGGGCTACCCTGTCCTCTGCACGGCAGTAACGTGTAAGTCAGTGGATAGTGAGCGGCGCTATATCACAGCTAGTAACTTATTCACGATGGTCGTTGCCGTCCCCCGTAGCTCAGTGGTCTCAGTCACGGACTGGCAACAGTCGAGATGCGCGTTCGAGCCCTACCAAGGGTCCGATGGAATGCGCACTGCTGATGATTCCCGAAAGGATGAAACGCGCGTTGAGTGCTTTTCCGGGGGTGTGGCGGCTGTCTGAGTGAGTCTCGATGTGACGAATTTCTACCTATACCAATTTCTGATATATTTGGCGCGCTTTCGGTTAATGCACATCATAACTCGTGCCCCAAGTTCTTTCGGCTCTTTGCTTTGGTATGTGATACCTGATCGAACATGAATGGATATCAGTGGCTTCATTTGTTTCGACCATCCCTTCCAATTC